TGCTATTCACATCACCCCATGTGAATTGGGTGAATGGATTCTGAATCGATTCCAGGGTTCATGACATGAAATCGAATGGCGAGATTCCATTCATGAATCGATTCAAGTGCGTAATCGAATGCAGCCACTGCGTATTCCACTGTGAATGGGATTCGACTTTGTGTACGCCACTGTACACATGTTTTGCCCCTGTGCACTCTACTGTCTCGGAGTTCGCCGCTATGTGTGCCACTGTGTATGGGGTTCACAACTGCATACACCGCTGAGAGCGGGTTGCACCACAGTGTGCATGCGTATTTTTGTATTACCCTTTTTCTTACTTAGAAGTTGCGACTTCGGCGGTAATAGTCATGAAGTTGATTGTTCCAACTAAGAACACACGCTTCTTGCCGAACTTGACACTTGACTGACTCACGACAGCCATCCGGAGCACACGAGGAGCACGTCGCACCTTCCACTCAACAATCGACTTCATGACTATTACCGCCGAAGTCGCAAGTTCTAAGTTCGTATTGTTGTCCCTCACGCGGACGTGCAACTAGTTGTTGGAGGTGACAGAGTTGTGAATAGCTATACTGGCTCTCAATGTCTGTTTAACACAACTCCATGAGTGACTCTGACTCACACTGCTACCTGGGGCTTCATGAGGTGTTTGTCGCGCTGGAAACAAAGCGTCTCTGTAAGTTTGTATCCCTGGTGATGGTTTGGCCTGGAGAGCAGTATATAAGTGGTGCTTTTCAGGCACAATCTTCCTCAGCCTACTCAAGCTCAACGGATGAGGGGTGAATTCCCCGAAACACTGTGTATTGAGCAGGGAGTGGTGCTTTCTTGCAGGTTTGCCGAGTGGAAGGTGTGACGTGCTCCTCGTGTGCTCTGGATGGCAGTCGTGAGTCAGTCAATTGTCAAGTTCGGCAAGAAGCGTGTGTTCCTAGTTGGAACAATCAACTTCATAACCCTTTTTCTTCTTGTACTTTTTGGCTTCTTCCTGAACGCTCCTTTGAATAGCACCGAAAACATGTTATTCTGAGTTGTGTGTGACAGCATCAAAAAGCCTATCGTTTGTTCTTAGCCACACGACATGATCATCCTGAAATCTCTTCCACTATTACCTTAATTGCCTTCTTGTTGGAAGTAACTTTAATAGACAAGGTTAATTTTTGTCACACTTTCATTATCTACAGAGATTTACCCAATAACAACTTCTCTCCTGGTCCTCGACTATGCAGAGTTTTAAAAGCAGGCAATCACATCCAGATGACTTTAGAAGAACCGCTTAAAAAATCCCTCAACAGTAAGTGTTCCGCTATCATTGTTCCTGCCTGATGGTTGAACTTGTGAACAAGATCGACATTGTTTTGAATTTGTTGTGGACTTTGTCTTTGCTATTTTCGTTCTGTCTATTCTCTCACCTTTCTTCTCTCTCACGTCTTCTGTAGAACTGCTTTCCAGTCTGTCTCTCTCTTCTCTCTACTCTTCATCTCAAGAACGTTTCTCTTCTCCATTTCTTCGTTCTTGTGCTTCTCTAAACTTCTCTACTCTCTTTTCTCTTCGTTTGAATTTCCTTGAACATGACGTGAACATGTGTTTTTTGCGCTCTGAACTGTCTTGATTTTCTTTTATGTTTTTTGCCGAATGTACAGTGCACTGTGCGCTGTGTGTGTACAATGCTGCGCGGCTAGCGATGCGCTTTCTTTGGTACAGACTTTTTCTGTTGTGTCCGTCATCTATGGCTTTCGCTTTCTTGCAGTTTTCACCGCTTTGCTGCAATAGTTGCTGTTTCCTTGAAGGCGAACTGCGATGCCTCCATTTTCGTAGATGGTCTTGGTGCGCGAGGCGCCGAGCGAACCTCATGGCTTTTGGTTTAGTTTCTTTTTCAGAGTTTTTCAGTTTTCAGATTTGTTGTTGTTTGTGAATACACCGTTTATACAGTCTTCAAGCGAGCAGTAGTTTTCGATGTGTGGTCGTGACTTGGGTTGTCCGTATTGCCCTGAACGTTTGGTCCTTCAAGCCGGATGTGCGGAGGCGCATCCGGAGCCAATCGAACAGCCCTGAAGTAAAGCTTTCTGTATTCCGTAGCTCGTTGTGTTATGATCGTATAGTGTATATTTTTGAAATTTGAGTGTGCATTTCGATCGTTGCCGTTGAGATGTCGCGCAAGAGCACCAGAACCACCAGAGGGAGAGCTCCAGACCGGCTCGGTGAGTGGCTAGAGTCGACACAGACTGACGCTCAGCTTGCGTTTGACGCTGCGGTGAATTTGTCGTTGTCACCATCACCCAGTGCCAGTGTACATGATGTGCTCAGTCTGAAGTCCATTGGTGTGGACAGTTTTAGCGTTAGTAGTAGCAGTGCGCGTAGTCGCGGTGCGCGGAGTGCGCACCTACGAGCTGAGTGCGAGGCTGCAAAGAGGCTGGCTGAATTGGAGCAGCAACAGATAGAGTCGCAGAGGAGACTGCTGCAAATTGAGCTGGGGATTGCAGCATGAAGCCATCAACAGCCAGCATGACAGCTCCAGTACTAGTAGTAGTGCATACTCGGAGTCCAGGCGCTCAACGCATGCTAGCATTAGGAGTAGTAGTAGTAGCAGTGTAAGAGGCCAGCCAGCCCAACAGTCTGTACGTGGTGGAACGCCCCAGGCAGCTGTGGCAGTGTCTGCTGGCGATGGCCACGCAGCTACAGCTAACCAGCAACCAGCAACGTCAACAGCCACAGTACGCAGTCCGGCAGTATGTCAGCAGCAGTCGCCGCAGTCTGATGTTACGCCGCAGTCTGATGTTACGCCACAGTCAGATGTTACGCAGCCACCAGCAACGTCAGCAGCCACAGTACGCAGTCCGGCAGTACGTCAGCAGCAGGCGCCGCAGTCACATGCTTCGCAGCAGCAGCCGCAGTCTGACATCGCGCAGCTCACTGGAGCTATCCTGGCAGCGGTAGCCCTCAGACACCCCAGCACAGCGCCATATGAAGGGTTGTATGGCCAGGCAAGCTGCTGGGAAGGATCTGCCACAGTTTGCTGGGCAGCCTGAAGAGTGGCCCATCTTCAAGAAGATGTTTGACACCACAACCCGGGACTGTGGGTTTTCGCATGCAGAGAACCTCAGCCGACTGCACCGTGCGCTGAAGGGCAAGGCCAGATATGCAGTCCAGTTTATGCTGGCTGTCCCAGACAATGTTCCGGAGATTCTTGCCACTCTGCAAGAGCATTTTGGCCGTCCCGAGCACGTGGTGCACCACCTCATCACCCGTGCTCAGAGTTTCTGCACTTTGCAAGCCGACGACTTTGAGCAGCTCAAAGAGTTCTCAACTGCTGTGCGTGGGCTGGTGCAGATCATGAAGCTAATGAATAGTACTGGGCACCTGCGCAACCCTCAGCTGCGACAGGAACTTGTTGCCAAACTGCCGACTGGCATGCGCCTGAACTGGGGCGAGATGATCGCCAATTTCGACCCGGAGAAGCTGTTACTGGATGATTTTTCAGTGTGGCTGTGCGGCAAGGCCAGTGCAGCAGGCAGAGTGACTGCGCTGAAGACAGGGAGTGTCAGCAGCAGCAGCAGCAGCAGCAGTAACAAGAGAAGTCGGAGTGAGACCATCCTCACCACATTGAGCAACAGCGGCAGCCCCAGACAGCAAGAGCGTGCACCCTTTGCCTGCCATTACTGCAGCAGCCAACATCCGCTGCGCAGCTGTGACAGTTTTAAAGCACTGCCACTGCAGAAATGTAGGGAATGGGTAGCGGAGAAGAAGCTGTGTTTTCTCTGTTTCGGCCGCAGCCACCGGGTAACTGACTGCAAGAGCCGGAATCGCTGCTCCGTTGGTGACTGCGGAAAACGTCACCATGAATTAGTGCACCCGTCTGACAGGAACAGCGGTGGCCACACTGAACAGTAGGAGAGCGTCAATTGCCACACCGCTCAGCGAACTCGAGTTGCCCTGCGTGTTGTACCGGTGTCGCTCTCAGCATCCAACAGGCATAGCGTCGAGACACATGCGCTCCTGGATGAAGGATCCACCGTGAGCATTGTTGACAGGAAGCTTGCCAGGGAGCTGGGCGCTACTGGTCCGGTAGATCCCTTGCACCTGAGTTGGACTGGGAATCACAGTCAGCACCATGCCAACTCATGTTGCGTCAACCTGTGCATCTCACCTAGAGACGGGGATGAGCAGTTTGACTTGCAGAACGTCCGGACAGTGGCGAACCTCAGTCTGCCGAAGCAGTTTGTCAACCAGCAGAAACTTGCCCGACAGTGGTCGCATTTGGCACACATCGACTTGCCATCACTGGCAGAGGCAACGCCTATGCTGCTCATTGGCCAGGACCACTACCACGTGACGGCACCAAGGGAGATCTTGGAAGGTCTGCCGAATGCACCTGTAGCCACCAACACTAAGCTCGGCTGGGTACTGCACGGCAACACCGGACAGTGCCGAAGAGTGGACTCTGAGGTGTCCTTCGTGTCGTGGTCAGCAGATGACGAGCTGCATGAACTGGTCAAGAGAGCATTTTCAGTAGATGACTTCGGGGTCAAGCCAGCGCCACTACCCAGAAGCAAGGGCGATGAGCGGGCGCTACAGTTGCTGAGTACCATGACTCACGATGGCACTAGATGGCAAACAGGACTGTTGTGGCGTGACGATAACCCGCAATTGCCAGAGAGCTGACAGCAGGCCGACAGACGTCTTCAGCAGCTGGAACGCCGTCTGATGAAGGACCAGAACCTCGCGGACCAGTATGCAGTGAAGATCAAGAGCTACCTGGTGAAGGGATATGCACGCATCCTTTCAGCAGCAGAGGCCGCATGTGAACCACCTAACACCTGGTACCAGGCTGCCGCACTTTGCCGTGGTGAACCCGACGAAGGGCAAGCTGAGACTTGTGTTTGATGCAGCCGGGAAATCGCATGGCAAGTGCAGTCGCCCTCAAGATGTGTACGAGATGCAGGTGATGACGTTTGGTGCAGTGTCATCTCTGACCACAGCTCAGCATGCGAAGAACCATAGTGCCACCGTCTTTGGTCCGGATATGCCTGAAGCTGTCACAGCCATCACTGACCGCCACTATGTGGATGACTATTTCGACAGTGCAGCTACGGAGTGTGATGCCATCAGCCATTCGGCAGCGGTGATTGAGATTCACCGGAGGGGAAGATTCGAGATCCGGAACTGGGTCAGTAACTCGTCCCAGGTTCTAGAGAGGATACCCACCCAACTTCGTTCATCTGAAGTGGTGAATCTCGCCACCGGGAACGCATCCACAGAGAAGGCACCTGGCCACTTATGGAACCCGAACAGCGACTGCCTCAGCTTTGCCGTTGGAGCAAAGCTATCAGCACAGCCCGACAGCGTCTCAGCAACCAAGCGGACAGTACTGCGCTACGTGATGTCGGTGTTCGATCCCCTTGGCTTCCTGATGGCGGACACCGTTACCGCCAGGATACTACTGCAAGACGTATGGAGGTCAGGCCTTGGCTGGGACGATGAGCTGCCCCATGATATGGCTGAGCGCTGGTCAAAATGGCAAGCCGGCCTGCATGAAGTTGTGTCGCTGCAGGTGCCACGGTGCTACCATCCTGCACTAGCAGACGCCAAGAGCTTCGAGCTGCACATGTTTGTCGACGCTAGCGAAAAAGCATTCGCAGCTGTAGCGCACATCAGAGCCACCAGCAAGAGCAGTGCTGTACACGTTGCGTTTGTTGCAGCAAAGGCTCGCGTTGCCCCGCTCAAGCCACTCAGTATCCCTTGTCTTGAGCTGCAAGCTGCTGTGCTGGGAACGCGTCTGGCAGACACACTCACCAAGCAGCTTGATCTACCTATCGGCTCCACAACATTCTGGAGCGACTCCCGTACTGTCCAGCTGTGGATCAAGTCAGAAGCCAGACTTTACAAGACGTTTGTTGCCCACAGGATTGGTGAGATCGCTGAGACAACGGAACCCAGTCAGTGGCGCTGGGTCCCCACCAAGGATAACCCTGCTGATGACGCTACGCGTGGTCTGGCCAGCGACGAGTTGACACTTGGCAGCAGATGGATGACCGGCCCAGAGTATCTGCAGAGTCCGCCAGAGCAGTGGCCGCTTGATGTCAAGCCTGCAGTAGCCGACTCAAGTCCCGGCATCAAGCTGAAAGGCGAGTTCGTAGCCACAGCTGTGTCTAGTGAGTGTGTGCGGAATGCAGCGCTACCTGACCCTAGTCACTTCTCATCGTGGATGAGACTGGTCCGTGTTACCGCTTGGGTACTCCGCTTCGTCAAGATCTTGAAGCACCGAGCGCTACGTACATCAGCACCACTCCCAGG